ATGCTGCTGTAGCAGGGATAGTATTGTATACATGCTGCTGTAGCAGGGATAGTATTGTATACATGCTGCTGTAGCAGGGATAGTATTGTATACATGCTGCTGTAGCAGGGATAGTATTGTATACATGCTGCTGTAGCAGGGATAGTATTGTATACATGCTGCTGTAGCAGGGATAGTATTGTATACATGTTGACCAGACCACACACTAGAAGGTGAAGGGATGACGACGTTTCGGTCCGTCCTGGACCATTCTCAAGTCGATTGTGATGAGGAAGTAGAGACAGGCAATAATTAGGCAAGAGAAAGGTGAGGAGCAAAGTAAGGTGTAGTAGAGGGGATAGTAGTAAGAATAAGAACTGCAGAGGGCCTATTGGCTCATACGAGGCAGCTCCTATTGAAACAACCGAATGAGAAAGAGATAGTAATAGGAAAAGGAAAGGGTAGCAAGGCAACGTAGAAGACATTGAACAGAAAAAAGAAAGAAGAGAGAAAGAAAAGGAAAGAGAAAGAAAGATAAATGGAAGGGTAAGCTTATGTTAGGTCACGTTTGTTAGAAACATTAGAGCATTTGAGCATGTATACAATATTATGAAAGGGAAGAGTCCACAGCAACAAAGCCAGGACTCAAGTTCATGTTGGATACATTGTGTATTAGAGCCGATTCAACAAGATGGCGTCTGTGTAGAGTAGAGGCAGGAAAGATTATTTTGGAGGAAGACCAATCAATGGGGTGATTAGATTCCCTCACATGGCAGAAGAGAGCATTGTTATTGTCTGCAGACTTAACACTTCTCTTGTGTTCTTTAAGTCTGTCATTCAGTGTACGGCCAGTTTCACCAAAGTATTGGAGAGGACAAGATGAACAGGAAATAGAGTAGACACCAGCAACATTAGAAGCAGGAGGAGCAGTGTGAACTTGATTGCTACGAAGTGTGTTAATTTGTCGAAAGGCGAGCTTAATGTCAAGAGGACGAAAGGTATTGGTAAAAGTTTTGAGTTAATATATGAAGGGAAGGCATAGTACAGTGCTACTAGTGTTGGAAGCAGGTTTAGGATGAAAGAAATTACCAACTGCCGGGTATACCACCTGCTGGGTATACCAACTGCCGGGTATACCACCTGCTGGGTATACCAACTGCTGGGTATACCACCTGCTGGGTGTACCACCTGCTGGGTATACCACCTACAGGGTGGTATTGTATACATGCTGCTGTAGCAGGGATAGTATTGTATACATGCTGCTGTAGCAGGGATAGTATTGTATACGTGCTGCTGTAGCAGGGATAGTATTGTATACATGCTGTTGTAGCAGGGATAGTATTGTATACGTGCTGCTGTAGCAGGGATAGTATTGTATACATGCTGTTGTAGCAGGGATAGTATTGTATACGTGCTGCTGTAGCAGGGATAGTATTGTATACATGCTGCTGTAGCAGGGATAGTATTGTATACATGCTGCTGTAGCAGGGATAGTATTGTATACGTGCTGCTGTAGCAGGGATAGTATTGTATACATGCTGCTGTAGCAGGGATAGTATTGTATACATGCTGCTGTAGCAGGGATAGTATTGTATACATGCTGCTGTAACAGGGATAGTATTGTATATATGCTGCTGTAACAGGGATAGTATTGTATATATGCTGCTGTAACAGGGATAGTATTGTATACTGCCGGGTATACCACCTGCTGGGTATACCAACTGCTGGGTAAACCACCTGCTGGGTGTACCACCTGCTGGGTATACCACCTGCCGGGTATACCAACTGCTGGGTATACAAACTACCGGGGTATACCACCTACTGGGTATACCACCTACTGGGTATACCAACTGCCGGGTATACCACCTGCCGGGTATACCACCTGCTGGGTATACCAACTGCTGGGTATACCAACTGCTGGGTATACCACCTGCAGGGTATACCACCTGCTGGGTATACCAACTACCGGGTATTCTACCTACTGGGTATAGCTTCAGTACCTGCACACGTCACTCTCTGGACTCACTGACGACAGTTTTGTCTCACTAACGATAGCTTCTGACCTACTAATGACAGCTCCTGATCCACTAATTATAAATACTGACAGACTGACAATAGCTACTGACCAAATGACGAGTTATCTTTACACACTACTGCACCTAACCCGCTGATGACAGCTCCTGACCCACTGACAACAGCTGCTTCTATATGTGATGTTCATTTGTCCCTTGTTCCATCTTTCTTTCATGTATATGATGTTGATCTTGTCTTTCCTTGTAACTCGCTTCATTAGTGTGGTTGCCAGCCCCTGGTCTTTCAGCAGCTTTATACTCTGTTTGAGGAGAACTTTTATTCCACGCTGTTTCTGTTTTATACAGAATATATCTTCACCCTCTTTTACAAACATATATATAATGGAAGATCCATAGTCGGCTTATATATCACATTCAGTTTGTGAAATCTGGGTGTGATGAGCCTTAAGAGACAGGTTCAGTAGATATCAACCTCAAGATCTTGTCAGTGTGAGACTTAAGGAGGGTTTCATCTCCCATTTGGTAATGTGAAACCTCAGATTCCAAGCACACAGTTGCGTTGTTTTGCACTTGCTTGAGTGGTAACGTAATGCATCATTCTTTCAGTTAATAAATTACACTTCGTAATTTTTTTTCAGTCTTCCACAACATATCTCATTATCAGAAAGCATTACGGAGGAAAAGATCCATCTATTGGGGAATATCATTTGCATAACTCAGAAGTAAGATTTGCACTATGATCCCATTGGGACTCACCTGATAACATCTTAAAACTTTAGTTTTATATCCCACTATATTTATTAATATTTTGTTAAGATGTTCCTTTACTAACTGAAGTACCTTCCCTGACTCTCCTGCTGGTTTGTCTACCTTGTGCGCTATTGTTCTCTGGCTACTGTGTCCAAGGGTTTAGACTACACACATATACAGTCTGTCCACTCTGTCTTGTCTGTACAGTCTGTCCACTCTGTGTGTCGTGTCTGTACAGTCTGTCCACTCTGTGTGTCGTGTCTGTACAGTCTGTCCACTCTGTGTGTCGTGTCTGTACAGTCTGTCCACTCTGTGTGTCGTGTCTGTACAGTCTGTCCACTCTGTGTGTCGTGTCTGTTCAGTCTGACCACTCTGTGTGTCGTGTCTGTACAGTCTGTCCACTCTGTGTGTCGTGTCTGTTCAGTCTGACCACTCTGTGTGTCGTGTCTGTTCAGTCTGTCCACTCTGTGTGTCGTGTCTGTACAGTCTGACCACTCTGTGTGTCGTGTCTGTTCAGTCTGTCCACTCTGTGTGTCGTGTCTGTACAGTCTGTCCACTCTGTGTGTCGTGTCTGTTCAGTCTGTCCACTCTGTGTGTCGTGTCTGTACAGTCTGTCCACTCTGTGTGTCGTGTCTGTTCAGTCTGACCACTCTGTGTGTCGTGTCTGTTCAGTCTGTCCACTCTGTGTGTCGTGTCTGTTCAGTCTGTCCACTCTGTGTGTCGTGTCTGTTCAGTCTGTCCACTCTGTGTGTCGTGTCTGTACAGTCTGACCACTCTGTGTGTCGTGTCTGTTCAGTCTGTCCACTCTGTGTGTCGTGTCTGTTCAGTCTGTCCACTCTGTGTGTCGAGTCTGTACAGTCTGTCCACTCTGTGTGTCGTGTCTGAACAGTCTGTCCACTCTGTGTGTCGTGTCTGTACAGTCTGTCCACTCTGTGTGTCGTGTCTGTACAGTCTGTCCACTCTGTGTGTCGTGTCTGTACAGTCTGACCACTCTGTGTGTCGTGTCTGTACAGTCTGTCCACTCTGTGTGTCGTGTCTGTACAGTCTGACCACTCTGTGTGTCGTGTCTGTTCAGTCTGTCCACTCTGTGTGTCGTGTCTGTACAGTCTGTCCACTCTGTGTGTCGTGTCTGTTCAGTCTGACCACTCTGTGTGTCGTGTTTGTACAGTCTGTCCATTCTGTGTGTCGTGTCTGTACAGTCTGTCCACTCTGTGTGTCGTGTCTGTTCAGTCTGACCACTCTGTGTGTCGTGTTTGTACAGTCTGTCCACTCTGTGTGTCGTGTCTGTACAGTCTGTCCACTCTGTGTGTCGTGTCTGTACAGTCTGTCCACTCTGTGTCGTGTCTGTATAGTCTGTCCACTCTGTGTGTCGTGTCTGTACAGTCTGTCCACTCTGTGTGTCGTGTCTGTACAGTCTGTTCACTCTGTGTCGTGTCTGTACAGTCTGTCCACTCTCTGTGTCGTGTCTGTCAAGATATCCACATAAATGTGTAGTATTGTACTATATAGGATCTTTTCATTATTTGTTCTCCTATCCTCTGAGTTACGGTATTATATATCATCTTGCATGTAAAATATATGAGGGACATGCCTATAGTTTAACCCCCCAGGACTGTCTTCATAACTTTAAATACTGACCCAACATTAGCTGCGTCCAACCATCTCACTGAACTCCAGTGTGTAGGTGTGATGTTAAACCTCAATATTACTCGTATGATAACTGAACATTTGAACATCGAATGAGTATAAACTTAAAGTGAATCCAGAAGGATTAGAAAATACAACAATACAAATAAATACAGAACAGGTAAACGTTTACAAGAATGTCTCCTAGTAAATAATGGGATGTCAGGTGTCATTAATCTATGAACACTAGGAGCAGTTTAACACATCAAAGCAATAGGATTGCTCGTAAATTCCTTATATGCATTAAAATTACCAATATCTTGTTACAATATTTATACGAATATAATTATAACCTCAGAGGAATATAAATTGAGATATTTCGTGTTTTTACCTTTCATACAAGATATTTATGGTCAATTACTTATAGGTATTATAATAATAACTATGAAGCATCTCAGAAAGGTGATATTCTTCTCTTGGCCAGGTATTGGTCTGTACGGGTTATAGAGGACACGTGATCGCTGCTGACTACGTGGCTCAGATGGTCCCAGAGGACCGCCGTCAACACGTCCGAGTGATGGACATTGCCGCAGGTACAGTACAATTTGCCTTCAACATAAAGATAAATTACTTAAATGCTAAAATAATTAATCTTAAACAAAATAAAATTAGGGAAAATAAGTTATGGGTCTTAGGTATGGGTGAGACCCAACGTTGTCTCTGTATCCTGAAGACCATGTCCAGGATATGGTCAACTGGATATTGGTTATGGTCTATTATGGTCTGGTTGATAATAGTAATGACGTTATCTTACAAATGAATGAGAATAATCCACATATTTTGATATGGATTCAAAATATAATATAACTTATTTAAAAATATTCTAAGCAAAGCAAAGGAATGCAGTATACCTATGAAATTGAATAGATCGAATACTAATTACCCGAAATGGATAACAAAGAATCTGAAGAATCTTATAGGTAGAAAAAGAGCTTGGTACAAAAGGATTAAAAATGGGGAAGATAGTTTAAAACAAGAATTCGTACAACTGGTTAGAAATGTTAAAATAAATATAAGAAGGGCAAAAATGAACTATGAAGTTCGTATAGCAGGCCAAGCAAAGGTAAATCCTAAAGTTTTTTTAAGTTAAATCGAACAAAGGCTTGGGAAAGGATAGGTTCATTAAAAACCGAGACAGGTCAGATAATAAATAATGACGAAGAGATGAGTAGTATTTTTAATAAATATTTTATCTCTGTATTTACTAAGGAGGAACTTAACTCTATGCCTTCAGCCGAACAAGTCAATGTGGGTGGGAACGAGGACAGGTTGACTAGTTCAACAGCTACCAAGGATGATGTTATTAAACAAATAGTGAAACTCAAACCAAACAAATCCCCAGGGCCGGATGAAGTGTTTGCCAGGGTTCTTTAAGAATGCAAAGAGGAGCTTTCCACTGTCTACCATATTTAATAAATCATTAGAGTCAGACAAAGTGCCAGGGTCATGGAAGGTTGCTAATGTGGTACCAATTTTTAAGAAAGTAGATCACTTGCGTCAAATTATCGGCCAATTAGCCTAACATTTATTGTTGGAAAGTTGCTTAAATCGATAATTGCAAATAACATTCGTCTTCATCTTGAAAAACATAAATTAATAAATGATTCACAACATGGTTTTATAAATAGCCGTTCAAGTTTAACAAATTTGCTATCATTTGTTTCCAGCATAGTTGAGGCAGTTGATAGTGGTAAGGTTTGTGATGTTGTGTACCTTGACTATAGCAAAGTTTTTGATACAGTCCCCCATGAAAGACTGATTAAAAAGATAGAGGCTCATGGTATTGGGGGTGCTATATTAAGATGGATTAAGACATGGTTATACCAAAGGAAACAGAGAGTTAGTATAAATGGGGTTGACTGGGAAAATGTTGTAAGTGGAGTGCCTCAGGGCTGTGTCCTGGGACCTCGGTTATTCATAATATATGTGACTTAGATTCAGATGCAGGCGATGAGTCACTATAACGTGGCTGAAGTATGTTGACCAATCTACACACTAGAAAATGAAGAGACGACGTCGTTTCGGTCCGTCCAGGACCATTCTCAAGTCGATTGTGATGAGGGAATGTTGTTGTTGTTTCAGATTTAGCTACTCAGGACGAAGTATCCTTGTAGCACGGGCTGTGGTGAACCCGTAATTGAGTTTGGTTATACATGATAACTTTTTTCCTGTGATATTTGGGTCTAAGTTTAAAATGGAGGAGAGGACTTCTCCTTTTTCCCTGCTTATTTATCGCTTCTGTTTTAGTGCACTGGTTTTAATCTTGTTTTATTAACATTATCTTGGTGGCGGATGTAGATGCAAAATGCTCACTAATGAGTCCCATTCCTCAACAGCTTTTCTAATCATTGTAGTCGCGGTGAAATGTGAATCTAATGCAGCTGCTTTCGTCAGATTAATGTTGAGTTTGATACGCGAATTGACCATAGATCCCAATACTCTGAGTGTTGGGATCTATGGTTAATTCAGGCTGAGACTGTACAACCCAGAACCCATGCGCTGTTACAGATGTCAGCGCTTCGGCCACCACAAAGATGGCTGCAGAGGCCCGGAACGATGTGGTGTATGTATCGAGCTCCACAATACCGACATAAGCAAGAATCTGCACAACTGGCCTACCCTGACCAGGGGGCCAACTGGCCTACCCTAACCAGCGGGCAAACTGTCCTATCCTGACTAGTGAGCCAACTGGCCTACCCTGACCAGGGGTCCAACTGGCCTACCCTGACCAGGGAGCCAACTGGCCTACCCTGACCAGGGGGCCAACTGTCCTACCCTGACCAGGGGGCCAACTGGCCTACCCTGACCAGGGGTCCAACTGGCCTACCCTGACCAGGGGGCCAACTGGCCTACCCTGACCAGCGGGCCAACTGGCCTACCCTGACCAGTGAGCCAACTGGCCTACCCTGACCAGCGGGCCAACTGTCCTACCCTGACCAGTGAGCCAACTGGCCTACCCTGACCAGGGGGCCAACTGGCCTACCCTGACCAGGGGGCCAACTGGCCTACCCTGACCAGGGGGCCAACTGTCCTACCCTGACCAGTGAGCCAACTGGCCTACCCTGACCAGGGGGCCAACTGGCCTACCCTGACCAGGGGGCCAACTGGCCTACCCTGACCAGTGAGCCAACTGGCCTACCCTGACCAGGGGGCCAACTGGCCTACCCTGACCAGGGGGCCAACTGGCCTACTCTGACCAGTGAGCCACCCTGACCAGGGGGCCAACTGGCCTACCCTGACCAGGGGGCCAACTGGCCTACCCTGACCAGAGGGCCAACTGGCCTACCCTGACCAGTGAGCCAACTGGCCTACCCTGACCAGGGGTCCAACTGGCCTACCCTGACCAGTGAGCCAACTGGCCTACCCTGACCAGGGGGCCAACTGGCCTACCCTGACCAGGGGGCCAACTGGCCTACCCTGACCAGGAAGCCAACTGGCCTACCCTGACCAGGAAGCCAACTGGCCTACCCTGACCAGGGGGCCAACTGGCCTAGCCTGACCAGTGAGCCAACTGGCCTACCCTGACCAGCGGCCCAACTGGCCTACCCTGACCAGGGGGCCAACTGGCCTACACTGACCAGTGAGCCAACTGGCCTACCCTGACAATCGGTTCAACTGGCCTACCCTGACCAGGGAGCCAACTGGCCTACCCTGACCAGTGAGCCAACTGGCCTACCCTGACCAGGGGGCCAACTGGCCTAGCCTGACCAGTGAGCCAACTGGCCTACCCTGACCAGGGGGCCAACTGGCCTACCCTGACCAGGGGGCCAACTGGCCTACCCTGACCAGGGGGCCAACTGGCCTACCCTGACCAGGGGGCCAACTGTCCTACCCTGACTAGGGGGCCAACTGGCCTACCCTGACCAGGGGTCCAACTGGCCTACCCTGACCAGTGAGCCAACTGGCCTACCCTGACCAGGGGGCCAACTGGCCTACCCTGACCAGGGGGCCAACTGGCCTACCCTGACCAGGGGGCCAACTGGCCTACCCTGACCAGGGAGCCAACTGGCCTACCCTGACCAGGGGGCCAACTGTCCTACCATGACCAAGGGGCCAACTGACCTACCCTGACCAGTGAGCCAACTGGCCTACCCTGACCAGGGGTCCAACTGGCCTACCCTGACCAGTGAGCCAACTGGCCTACCCTGACCAGCGGGCCAACTGTCCTACCCTAACCAGGGGGCCAACTGGCCTACCCTGACCAAGGGGCCAACTGGCCTACCCTGACCAGGGGGCCAACTGGCCTACCCTGACCAGGGGGCCAACTGGCCTACCCTGACCAGGGGCCAACTGGCCTACCCTGACCAGGGGGCCAACTGGCCTACCCTGACCAGGGAGCCAACTGTCCTACCCTGACCAGGAGACCAACTGGCCTACCCTGACAATCGGTTCAACTGGCCTACCCTGACCAGCGGGCCAACTGGCCTACCATGACAATCGGGTCAACTGGCCTACCCTGACCAGCGGGCCAACTGGCCTATTATTTTAATATTTTATTAATATTTTTACAGCTGATTTTAAAATTTTAAATTTTTAATATTAAATTTTATAATTATTTTAAATTTTCTTGGTTTTCAAGTTACGTTGGTGATCATTTAGACAAAGTTGGGGCATTTGCCAGTTAGATTATGCAAAAAACTTTGGAAAGCGTTTCAGTAAATTTAACAAACAGAGTGATATGCCCTATCGTATATATATGCCTTGCACAGTTTAAGAGTTAAATGGTCCACAAGCCAATATACAACAGAAACATTTACATAAACTCCAGTTTTTCATTATGAATCTGTCTTTTTTAAATACAATGCATGGCTACATTTGTCATTTCAAATATATATATTTTTTCTGTTATGTATTTGTTATAATCTCTTTGTCGTAACAGTGCAATTTTCCCTATGAATTGCTACATCCAAACAATCTAGCTATGCTGTTAAATTATCTTATTACTGATGTATTTGGTATCTACATTGAAACACTTGATATTACAATGTATTCCTAGGCCTGCTAGAGCGTAGCCTAATCCAATTAAATTTTAATTGACAATATTTCCTTTTTCTTCACTACATATTTCTAAGCTATTATAAACCAATAGTTTTCAACATTTTGATTTCTAAGAATATAAAAATTCCTCTTACAAATTTCGTGTGTGCTCTTAATTTAATATGTGCATTGCTTCTCACTGACATATGCTTCATGCTTCTCACTGATATATGCTTCATGCTTCTCAGTGGCTTATCATGATATAATAAACGGTAGTTGGTTAACACTTATCTTGAAGTAACTCATTTCAGGGTTGGTATAAAAACTATTTTTAGATTAAGAAATATATTATTTGATGGTTATATAAACGTGCACTAGATTTGGTTTAGAAAAGAAATAAAGGAAGCGATATGGGAATTTACCCAATAGTAAATGATAAATATGCAGCTATTAAAAGCGTATCACACATTTGAAAACAATCTTTTTCCTTTCATTTCAAATCATGTGTATTCTCTGTAGACAGAAAAGATTCAAACGTTATTTGCACTTTTATTAGTACTAGTCGTGCATAATGAAATAAACACTATTTATATAATTGGCAAAATTATTAAAACAATACAATAATAAGCCTAGTTATATTATTCTTGTCTCTTACTTCAACATAATATTCTTGTCGCTTACTTCATAACAATATTCTCGCCTCTTACTTCATAATAGTATTCTTGTGTCTTGCTTCATAATAATATTCTTGTCTCTTACTTCATAATAATATTCTCGCCTCTTACTTAATAATATTCTTGTCTCTTACTTCATAATAATATTCTCGCCTCTTACTTAATAATATTCTTGTCTCTTACTTTATAAAAATATTCTTGTCTCTTACTTCATAATACTAATCTAGTCTCTTACTTCATAATAGTATTCTTGTGTCTTGCTTCATAATAATATTCTTGTCTCTTACTTCATAATAATATTCTTGTGTCTTACTTCATAATAATATTCTTGTCTCTTATTTCATAATAATATTCTTGTCTCTTACTTTATAATATTCTTGTCTCTTAATTCATAATAATATTCTTGTCTCTTACTTTAATTAATCATTAATAATTTCATTAATGATTAATTTACTAGAGAGTGGAATATATTCCACAGGTACCGGCGGCGTCGGCCTCAAGCTACACAAGAAAGGATTCACGTGAGTATAATGGGAGAATTGTACCAGACAATCCCTTCTGATTAATACATCTGTCGCGGAGTGCATAGTTGGTTTACAATGAAAACGTCCTGGGCTCGATAAGATTGAAGGACAATGCTAGGCTGGTCGTATTTATTTCCAACAACTCACATTCATATATTGTCTAACAAAACCTTCAAAAAATCTAGTGTGTTTGTCTGTGTGACATTACATAGTAACTTGTTCCATAATAATGAATTTAAAGTTCCTGGCCAGTGTTCCCTAATATATGTTTTAAATCGAAATTTATCAAACTGAAATTTATTATTTAGTTGCTTGCATAGTTTATATTTGTAACACCTAGTTTATATCCACTAGTGAACATTTTTCTTACATTTGACAACTCATTCTCCTAAAATGATAATACTTATAGTCACTACTTGCTTAAATGTAATAAAATGTACTGTTAGCCCTAAAAAGTTAAAATTTTGTCCGATTAATTTGGAAGACAAAACTAAAACCCAACTTAAACATTCTTAGGCCTAGTATAGCCCCATTAGGTGTCAATATTAGTTCTAGCATAGTGTGTGGCATTGTTTGAACTGGTTAGGTTACGTTAGGTCTTTCGGTCTCATTTGTGATTTAATAGAATGTCGGCTAATTCAGTAATACAAAATATATGCAGACGATGAGTCACAATAACGTTTCTGAAATATGATGACATATGTCGTATATATTGTGACGATAATCTCTTTCAAGAGAGATTGAGCCTGCTCTTCCCTACTTCAAGTTACGTCCAAATATACAAGTATAAGATACTACATTCAAAATACGTCACCAGTAGCACAAAACGTTTTGACCAGGAGGCAAAACGTACCAAGATCCCCCCCACTCCATACACCCTCCACACGCCAGCTCGTCATCAAACCAGCTAACTACCCTTCACCAGCTTGCCTGCTTCTGATTGGTGACTCGCCAGCCGCGCACCTGCACACCGCACCTCAGCTCCCTCTACCCGAGTCGACTTCTGAGCCTGACCAGCTATCAACTTCAGAATATTCTTTGTGCTCTTAGCGTTGATATCTCTCTCTGGCATACTAGCTCATTAGCTCGTATACAAAGGGAGGTTTCAGCCATAGCCGATATTCTCAGCACAATTTTATTATATTACCTTTATATTATTGTGTCTCACATTGTCTTTGCCTTTTCTTTATTATTTCGTTGAATTTTTAATTCCCCGAGATTTGTCTTTATTTTCATTTATGTTTAAAGTAAATATATTAAAGTTTCATTGTTCATACTTTGTGTTTTTTTCGTGTTCCTCCCTCTCACTTACCACAGACAACAGGCAAGCCGTCTATATTTTTGTTTTAAGTGTGACCAGACCATGACACCTGCCATTGGAGGACTGCCGAACATCAACACTCCAACACTTTCCCGTCACAATATATATATATATATATATATATATATATATATATATATATATATATATATATATATATTCGGATAGTTATCTTGGGCATAGCATTTTACCAAATCACCTCATTCTTTGGGGCAACACGTGAGGAACACAAATGCGAACAAGCCTGAATGGTCCCCAGGACATATGCAACTGAAAACTCACACCCCAGAAGTGACTCGAACCCATACTCCCAGAAGCAACGCAACTGGTATGTACAAGACGCCTTAATCCACTTGACCATCACGACCGGACATAATGAGGTGATAGCCGAGGCTATTTGAACCACCCCACCGCCGGCACTCGGATAGTTATCTTGGGCATAGCATTTTACCAAATCACCTCATTCTTTGGGGCAACACGTGAGGAACACAAATGCGAACAAGCCTGAATGGTCCCCAGGACATATGCAACTGAAAACTCACACCCCAGAAGTGACTCGAACCCATACTCCCAGAAGCAACGCAACTGGTATGTACAAGACGCCTTAATCCACTTGACCATCACGACCATCACGGTTCAAATAGCCTCGGCTATCACCTCATTATGTCCGGTCGTGATGGTCAAGTGGATTAAGGCGTCTTGTACATACCAGTTGCGTTGCTTCTGGGAGTATGGGTTCGAGTCACTTCTGGGGTGTGAGTTTTCAGTTGCATATGTCCTGGGGACCATTCAGGCTTGTTCGCATTTGTGTTCCTCACGTGTTGCCCCAAAGAATGAGGTGATTTGGTAAAATGCTATGCCCAAGATAACTATCCGAGTGCCGGCGGTGGGGTGGTTCAAATAGCCTCGGCTATCACCTCATTATGTCCGGTCGTGATGGTCAAGTGGATTAAGGCGTCTTGTACATACCAGTTGCGTTGCTTCTGGGAGTATGGGTTCGAGTCACTTCTGGGGTGTGAGTTTTCAGTTGCATATGTCCTGGGGACCATTCAGGCTTGTTCGCATTTGTGTTCCTCACGTGTTGCCCCAAAGAATGAGGTGATTTGGTAAAATGCTATGCCCAAGATAACTATCCGAGTGCCGGCGGTGGGGTGGTTCAAATAGCCTCGGCTATCACCTCATTATGTCCGGTCGTGATGGTCAAGTGGATTAAGGCGTCTTGTACATACCAGTTGCGTTGCTTCTGGGAGTATGGGTTCGAGTCACTTCTGGGGTGTGAGTTTTCAGTTGCATATGTCCTGGGGACCATTCAGGCTTGTTCGCATATATATATATATATATATATATATATATATATATATATATATATATATATATATATATATATATATATATATATATATATATGCAATTGACGATCACAAAACACTGATCATTTTATGCGGAAAATCCACAGAGAAATATGAAATGAGGTGAACGTTTCGGCTTGTTAAAGCCTTTGTCAACACCAGACTGACTAAGGAGAAGGGAGAAGGGGGAGGATATATAGGCCGACACCTGACCAACCCATCCCTAGGGAAAGAATTAACCAAAAACAGGTATAGCTTAGCTTAGAATGGTCAAAGAGGATTAAGCGGTCAGAGAATAAGGAATGAAAGATTAAAGAAAAGCCTCATGAACACACAATATATGAATATACAATTATAATGAGACATTGTAAGCCTCTCTATCAGAGTTGTTTCTTAAACTGTTGTGCAATATTATAACTTAAAAATGGATCAAGTTTGTACATACCAGTACTAACATTAAGAAGATTTGGACACTGACTGATTAGAGCAGACTCAATCAAATTCCGTTCCACGAAATCCCCACAATTGGTAATGCTTTTTGCCCCATTCCAGTTAATATTGTGATCGCATAAACTCGTATGTAGATACAATGCATTAGACGTTTGGGCAGTTCTTATACTATAAGCATGTTGTGACAACCGCAGTTGTAAGGACTTTCCTGTTTGTCCAAGGTACACAGAATCACAATCATTGCAGGGAATCGAGTACACACAACCTGCTGTGTCAGGGAAGTTTTTTATTAAATTGGATTTGATCGTACTATTAGTAAACACCAAATTTATATTAAGTTTCTTAAAAATCAGAGACAATTTTTCAAGTCCACTCGCATAAGGTACCACCAATGAGTTAATAATTTTTGGTTTCGCCTTAGGGACGTGATTATAAAACGTACGCTTGGCTTGTACAAACGAGAAATCCAAAAACCTCTTAGGATATTTTAAACTCTTCCCAATTTCATATATTTTAGCAATCTCTTCATCAAAAAACTCAGGGCTGCAAACCCTCAAAGCCCGTAGAAACATTCCTGAAAATACTGCCTGTTTAACTTTACTATGATGATTCGAATAAAAATGAACATACGACCCTACGTTGGTAGGTTTCCTATACACATTAAATTTGAACTTTCTAGTGACTCTATGTATCATAATGTCCAAAAACGGAAGAGTACCATTCTCCTCAGTCTCACAAGTGAATTTTATTGAAGGTACCAAAGAATTGAGTTCATTAAGAAAAACTATCTGGTCTTTGTTGCACGGCCATAAGCACAAAATATCATCAACATACCTAAACCAAACTACTTTAGCCGGGATAATCCTGGATAAGATTTTTGTTTCAAAGAATTCCATATACAAATTGCTTAAAACTGGGGACAGGGGATTGCCCATCGCCATACCAAATGTTTGTTTGAAAAATTTTCCATTAAAACTAAAATAATTGTCTTTTATACACAATTTAATAAGTTCCAATACTTTATTGGTCTGCAAGCTCAAATTATATTTAGGCAGTTCCTCACGTAGAAATTCTAACAGATCATCAACAGGAACTTTAGTGAATAAAGAGGTCACATCGAAACTTAAAAGTTTAAAATCAAAATTTAAATTCAGTGTGGATAGCTTATTAACTAAGTCCACATTGTTTGTCAAGTGTGAGTTGGAAATAGTACCAACTATAGGGGACAAAACTTTGACTAACCACTTAGAGAGTTTATAAGCCGCCGAACCAATTGAACTAATAATCGGCCTTGCCGGATTATATGGCTTATGAGTTTTTATAAGACCATACATGTAAGGAAGAGAGGGTTTCGATGTGACCTCTTTATTTATCTACATACGAGTTTATGCGATCACAATATTAACTGGAATGGGGCAAAAAGCATTACCAATTGTGGGGATTTCGTGGAACGGAATTTGATTGAGTCTGCTCTAATCAGTCAGTGTCCAAATCTTCTTAATGTTAGTACTGGTATGTACAAACTTGATCCATTTTTAAGTTATAATATTGCACAACAGTTTAAGAAACAACTCTGATAGAGAGGCTTACAATGTCTCATTATAATTGTATATTCATATATTGTGTGTTCATGAGGCTTTTCTTTAATCTTTCTTCCTTATTCTCTGACCGCTTAATCCTCTTTGACCATTCTAAGTTAAGCTATACCTGTTTTTGGTTAATTCTTTCCCTAGGGATGGGTTGGTCAGGTGTCGGCCTATATATCCTCCCCCTTCTCCCTTCTCCTTAGTCAGTCTGGTGTTGACAAAGGCTTTAACAAGCCGAAACGTTCACCTCATTTCATATTTCTCTGTGGATTTTCTGCATATATATATATA